TGATGGCTATGCTAGTGGGAAGGAGAATGTGGGCAAGAGAATACATTTCTGCTCAGGCTATAAGCAGGAAGTGACCCTTCCCACTAACAGGAGTTGCCCCAGTATGCTCTATGTTTGTACATATCACTAAAAGTAAGCCTGAAACCAAAGCCCAGTCACTTGCTGACTTGTCACTGGGTTTCAGTCTGGAAACAAAGTAATGGATTCAACCATACTCCAACTCCTCAACCTCTGCTGCTTCTCCTGAAGATGAGCTGAAGGCAAGCCTGCAATGAACAGATCTTCGAGCTACTGGCATATTTTTCCACCTCCCAGGAAGAACCTCCCTGCCATAACTTACCTGAACAAGGCGTCTGTGGAGTGCACATATTCCCCTGATCAGTAACATAAATCTGCACAGGGCCAAACCAGGCATTTACGGTTCTAAGTGGAACTCCTTGGGCCGCTGAGAAGACAAGTTTGGCAAATAGGAACTCTTTTAATTCTTTTAAGTCAGAAGTATAGCAGTTATCAACTGAACATTTTAATAGAGTATTAACCACCACCTTACATGTGTGTCCAACAATGCTCTTGGGATACAAGATAAAAGATAAATATGACCCTTGTCCTGAACCACATGCTTCTTAAGGGCAGAGATTACACGTCATTTGCCTGTGCTTATTCCAGGCCTGGCATAGCACCTATCATAATAGATATTCAGAAAAAACTTCTGAGTGAGGACGCTATCAAGTTGGCAAGATACGCCCATTAAAGACCAATGTAAGGGCAGTGTGGTACAGAAGAAAGCACTTCTGTCTGTCTCCCTCTACATCTCTCTTACAGGAACACTTGTGATGGCTTTTAGGGCCTGCCTAGATGGTCCAGGGTAATCTTGCAGTCTCAAGTCTTAAATTAATTACATCTACAAAGACCCTTTTTACAAATAAGGTAACATTCACAGGTTCCAAGGATTAGAACATGGACATATCTTTGGGATCCATTATCAGCCTACCACACTGAGTTCTGGCCTATGGCATGTGACCAGAAGTAATATACATAGCTTGCAGGTCTGGTCTGCGAAAACTTTCCAGATGAAATCTTTTCTTTTTTTT